GGGGCGGGCGGCGGCTCAATGGGGCCTTGTGCGCGGCTTGGCGCGGGCGGCGAGTGCGTGCGGCCGCCGCTCCGCGCTAATTGCGTTGCCCGGCTGCCGAGGGCGCCGGGCGGCTGGCAGGAAGAGCGCGGCCGCTAAGGGGCCACCCAGGGCGCGGGTCGTCCCAGGCCACCCGCCGGGCGGGGAGACGCGGCACGTGCCTCGCCGCCCGGAGTCCCCAGGCCGGTGCGCGCCTCGGCACGGGTTGGGGGGGGGGGCGTTCCCGTCGCGCCTCGCGCGCGGACCCGAGCCCGAGCCCCAAACTTGCTCTTCAGCGGCGCGTGCCTCTGCCCGTGTCCAGAGTGCTCCTGGGAACACGGCCCCGCCCCGCCAAGCAGACCTTCCAGCTGGCGGCTCCTGAAAAGGGCAGCTTCCGCGGCGCCTCTCAAAAGGGGAGCGCGCCGCTCCTCCCGCCTGACCCCGACGTGATTCGAACACGCAGCCTTCTGATCTGGAGTCAGACGCGCTACCGTTGCGCCACGAGGTCGGCTGCGAGGCACCCCCCACGCGAGCCTTGCTAGGCGGCCCGCGGCCGGGCCGGGCCGCGAGGGGGGGGGCGTGCGTGGGCGCGCTCGTGGGCCAGGCCTCCCCTCGCTCCGGGGCGCGTGGAAAGGCCCCTCGCCAGCTCAGGCACAGGGCAGGCCACGCGAGACGAGCCGGAATGGGCCGAGCGGCCTCGGCATTCGCCGCCCACAGCGCAGAAGCCCCGAGGCGCCGGGGGAGGGCTTGGGGGGCATCGGGGGGGGCACCCCCTCCCCGTCCAGCTCTGGGCTGTGCGGGAGTAGGAGGCTGGCCAGCGTGGAGGCCCCCTTCCACGCGCAGCCGCACCTCGGGGGAAAGTGGGGAGGAGAAGGAGCGGCGGCAGCCCAGGAGGCGGCAGAGCCTGCCCGGCCCGCCACCGAGCTGCCCACGCCACCCGGCTGCCCCCGCGGGAAGCCCGCAGGCAAGACGGGAGCGCGGCGGCAGCACCCTCCCCGCAGGATCCCCGCCACGGAGCTACGACCCCTCCTCTCCGCCCTCCGCTGCCTTTCCCAGTCCAGCTGCTGGCCACGCGTGGGGGAGCTGGGGCCCCCGACTCAGGGAAGCTCCTGCCCCGGGTGCGTGCTGCCTGCCTCCCCTGGCGGCGGCGGAGCCGGGCAGAGGGAGGTGTCGCACCCACCCTGCCCGAGTGACCCTGCGGGCCGCTGCCTCGCCCCCGCGCGTACTGGGCCGGGTGGACTGTGGTCCGATCCAGCAGGGCTTTTCTTGAGTTCTCATGTTCTTCGCTGCCGCGCCGTATAAGCGAATGCAAAGCAATGCATGTTGGGGCAACTCAGGTACAGGCTGCAGAGGTCTGAGCTGGCAGCGCCTGAGAATATCGGGGGGGGGGGCATCTGCGCGCAGCTGCCACGCAAAACGGTGACCCCATTCTAGGCTCAACTGGGAACCAAACAGAAAATAGATCTGCCAAGATATCAGTGCGCGGATACAAATGTTCGGTGTGGCCACGGTGAGAATACTTTCGCCAGCCCTGATCGCTTCACCTAAGTAGGGACGTTACCGAGTTGGAGAAGGCGCGGAGACAGAAACGACCCGGGCCTGGAGCAGCTCCCTGCGAGGAGCAGCTGGCGGGGCCACGACCGAGGAGGCGCTCGAAGTAATGCGGGGCGGGCGGAGGGGCAGCCTCTTCTTGGACCCGGGGCCGTCCTTGAAGCTGAGGGGCTGGGGAAGGCCTCCTCCGCGGATTCTCTGCCACAGGAAGCGGGGAAGGGCCACCCGTCTGAATGGCTTTCGAAAGAGGGTCGGCTTGGACGGATTCCTGGGGGAAGAGGGTGCCCGTGGCTCCCCCCTCGCCGGCCACGGGCTGCCTCCTTGGCCAGAGCAGCTGGGCGGGCGGAGGTCTCGCCCCGCCTGCTTCAGGGCTCCTGGGGGCGGCTCGAGGGTGCGGAGGGTGCCGGCCTCGTCCAGCGCGGCTTCGGTCCTCGGCCGGACCCGCGCCCCCCGCGCTCGCCCTGGCCTGCCGCCCTTGACCCCGCGTGCCCGCCGCCCTCCTTTCCCCGCCGGGGAGGCAGAGAGGGGGACGATCGCCCCCCCTCGGCGTGCGGGGTGTGGCTTGTCGAGCTGTGGGCCGGGCCTCGCCGCATCTTTATAGGAAGGCGGCGAAAGGACTGAGAAGAAGAAGGACTGAGCCTCGCAGCAGCCAGCCGAGAGGCAGCGAGCCGGACTCCCGCAGCCTCCCGCTGCCCGTCGCTCCGCCCGCGCCTCCCGCCCGCCTCCCCGCCGTCGGGCCTCCCGCTCCCCCACCGCGCAGCTGGCTGCGCTCACCGCCGCCAGCTCGGAGTCTGGACCCGAACAGCGAGCGGGTACGGGACGGCGGGACGGGGGCGGGACGGGGGCTGGACGGGGGGAGAAGGCTTTCTAGGAGCTCGCCCGGACCTGGCAGGGGGGCTTCTGCCCGGGTGTGGGCGGGTTGGGGGACGGAGAAGAGGCAGCGCGAGGGGAGCCCCCGGCGCGCGGGGAGGAGTCTGCTCGCCCGCCCGCCTTTCATCCCCGGCCGGCCGCAGGTAGGGGGGCCCCGAGATCCCTGCCTCCCCCGCGAAGTGGCCGGGAAGGAGTCGCGCCTGCTCCAGCATCTCCTCCCCAGGGGAAAGGACAAAAGAGGGGCCGGCGGGGGCCGCTCGCCGGCGAGACGCCGGCCCCGATCCTCTCCCGGCGCGGGGGGCGGCGACGCCTCCGCCTGTCAGTGCTCCCCCGCAGTTTTGCAGGGGAAGGGGCGCTGCACTTCCGCCCCGCGCCCGCCGCGGCTTCCTCCCCCGCCTGCGAAGCAGCCCTCCCCGAAGGGGCTCTGGGGATGATGCCGAGGGGGCGAGAGCCCCGGCGGGGGCCGGATCGACGGTGCGCGCTCCCTGGGGAACTTGCGAGGACGGCCACGGCCCGCTTGCCGAGGTGGTGCCCCGAGGCGTCACGCTCCCGCACCCCGCGCCGTGCTCCGCCGAGCGGGATTGGTGCGACACCCCTCTCGCTGGCCACCGTCTATTTATAGGACGAGCATGTGACGGGGGGGGGGGGGGGCTCGGCACAGCGCGAGCCGCCGAAGCGGGAAGATGGGGGAGGGCGGCCTCGCTGTCGTGCCGGCCCCGCCTGCCCAGCCAGGTGCGGCCGGGGCCGGGTCGCCCCCCGCAGTCGCCGGCCGGGTCGTGTGCGTCGCACGCGGCTCGGCTCCGTGGCGGAGAGGAGCGAGGCCGGAGGCGGCCCTCCCGGCGGCGCTGCCGAGGCTTTCTGCGCCTCCCGCCCCCCCCCCGCTAATTTCCATTCCCCTCCCCCTCCGGGCAGTTCCCGATGAAGGAGGATCAATTGGGGATCGATTGCAGTGCGTCATCGTCGATGGGATGGGGAGCCCGTAATGAACTGTGCTCGTGGGGAGGCGGTGGAGCGGGGGCGGGGGCGAGCGGGTGGCATGCCAAGGGCACCGGAGGCTGCATGGGGCGAGGGGGCAGGTGCCGGGGATTGGGGGTCTCCTCACGCACGCAGGCAACAGAAGCATGCCCACCCCGGACCCCCTTGCAGTGACCGGCTCTGCCCGGGACCGGTTGCCTCCCTGCCCCAGTTCCCTGAGCGAAATCGTGGCCCCCAGCCCGTCG